GGGAAATTGACCTCTGCTTTGGTCTCCCCCATGCACCATGGAAATCCACCCATTCCCCATGTTGAGTTCACTCAGTCCTATCATTGATTCTTGTCAGTGATGGCTTGTTAAAATGTCTTTTAAAAAATTATTAGAGTTAGTGGGACAAGCTAGAGTGTCCCCTGCTGCAATAATTTCAGGATTTGCAGATGATATTCATTATTACACTCCTCTACCTCTTATTTCAACTTCCCTTTACCATCAGCTAATTTGTGTTGTTGCCCAGTGGAGTCACTGAGACCTTACCTATCAGAATATAGTCACTTCAGTTACCTATTTATAGTGATTATCAGTCATGAAAGCAAAAGGGAGAATCCCTTAAATTACAGACATTCTCCTTCTTAATCACCTTATGAGAGTTTATCATGACAATTAGGGTTAATCTAGTTTCTCATAATAATTAATCACCCTTGCCGGTATAGAAACTCCTTCCTTTGCCCCATAGACTGCTGGCATGGGGAGCCAACAATGCCTAAATGGCAACTATAATTTAAGTTTAGTGGAATCATCAATGTTCCCCTCATAGAGGACCACCACAGAAGCAGGTGCAATGCCGACAGGGCTTACACACATTCCCCAAATGGGTCAGCAGGAGCACTGGTGAGAGTTGCCTCTTCTATAATACTTTCACCTGTTGGCTCCCTGACAGTTTATCTATTGGGAACATAGTATCATATATTGGCTTATGGTTCCAAGTAAATATCAAATCCGGAAGCAGAGTGCCCTAATACCACAGGATGCCATCCGCAAGCTGTGCATTTCAAAGTGCATTCCAATGTTCTACTAGTTTAGCAGCTTCATTGATCTAATATATATATATATATATATATATATATATATATATATATATCAATGAATCGAATGGTCATGTGATCTGAGCAGTAAGCCTCATCTTGCAGTGGGAACTTAGGCTAGTGTGCACTAATAGAACTAAAGATTTTTTTAAATCTTTCTATTGTAGTATGAATACATATTTTTAAATTGGAGAGATTACAAGTAAACACACCTGAAGACAACTAATATTTTCCTTGATGTTTCTGTAAAAGTAATTTGTTATTTTCATAAGCCAATAATGATTGAATCTCATTACTGTATCACTGCTTACTACCTGGATTTGAAAAATTCATTTTTAAAAAAATATATATTTTATTGACTTTTTACAGAGAGGAGGAGAGAGGGATAGAGAGCTAGAAATGTTGATGAGAGAGAAACATCGACCAGCTGCCTCTTACACACCCCCCACTGGGGGTGCCCCTGCAACCAATGTACATGCCCTTGACCAGAATCGAACCTGGGACCTTTCAGTTCGCAGACCAACGCTCTACCACTGAGCCAAACCGGTTTTGGCATGAAAAATTCTTTAGATTAATTCATTCCCTAGAAATGTTGTACTTATTAGAATATAAGTTTAATATAACCAAGCCATAAATTCATTCTGTCTCCCAATTCAAGATTTATACATTCCAGTTGATTTATACATTTTTGTTCTCTTTTTTACATTATAGTAAAATCCAGCATGTACACATTTGATACATATATAAATATATATAAAATTCCTCTTTCTGTCATTTTTTTTGTGAGGCTAATCTCACTTTCACAGCTCCACCAGCTCAAAGGATGAGGGAACATATGCTTCTCCATATGCCCAACACAGACTCCTCAACGCATTTATTACTCAGAGCTTGGAGATTGAGGAATCTTTGTAATATTTTATTTTTTCTCATAGTGAGTCATTTTACTGTACATTTCAAAATCTGTGATAAGTTGAAAGATACCAGAATTAAGGTACATTTCAACAAACAGCTTCCCATCTGCCAAATGAGGTTTTATTTATAACCAGGTATTCAAATACAGTGTGAGTGAAATTACATGCAAATTATTTTGCTTTATTACATGTTTAAAGAGCTGAGCATAAACACTAACCCCTCTAATCTATTCTCCACACGGCAGTCAGATCAGGAAACTCATCTACCTTAAACTCTTCGGTGGGTTCCAATTGCCCACAAGTGAGGCCCTCTATGATCTGGCTCCAATCTCTATCTTCAGATTGTCTCTCAAAGACCTCCTCCGCCTTTCTACTCTTCATTAAACTGGATCTTTCAATTCTTTAAGTGTATTCTTAAATTGGCACTCAACTCAAATAAGATGTGTAGGAAATGTTCAAAAACTAAGTCCATTTTAATACAGCACTTACAACCAACTAGTTGCTTTACATCTACTGAACCCCAAGCAAGTTTCCAGAAGTTAGCACTTGGGATTTAGTAGAGAAATAGGGACAATGATTGTAAGGATCTGCTTCAGTGTTTCTGTCTGAAGGACTCTCCTCATGGATTCTTCCCTTGGGACCATATTTGAACTACTGCAAGAGGCAGACCAATTTGGGAACACCCAGGTAATTTAGAGCATCAGAACTGGTGGGCTTGCTTCCTCTACATCAGAGTTAAGTAAATAACTCCCCGCTTCTCTCTTCCCCACCCACCCAGAGCAGGAGTTCCTATAGCTAACATTGCCCCACCAGTTGTCCAAGGAGTTTCCCTGTTTCCAGGCATATTTATCTGAATCTCACATGGGAAGTCTGAGTTAGCCCAAAGTTCAGATGCAGGCAGAAGGATTTTGCGCATCATAAGGTTGTGTAATGATCCAAATGCCAAGCCAAGCCAAAGAGTAGGTGCTCTGAAACTTCTTCATTTTTATCTTTGCATCCTCTCACTTTCGCTTAAACCAGCTTTTTGGCAGAGCATCAAAAAAAAGTTGCTTTGCCATTTATAAGCCTACGTTTCAATCAGCTAGGTTCACTAGTAGATTTGGAGCTAGAAAACAAATTCTTGTGTCCTCACAAGACTTGAATCTGGTAGAGAGAAAAGTTTTACTTGATTAAATAATAAAGTGTTAAAATGTGTATATTTGTCGTAGTGCTATAATTCACAGTGAGGGAAACCACTGTGGAGAGAAGTGTTTAGTGAAGACTTTACAGAGAAAGCAACATTTTTGCTGTAGATTGAAAGATGGGTAGAGTTTAGTAAAGGATTATCGCAGGGCTGGCAGCCACAGTGGACCCGAATGGACACAAAGGCTCAGAGTCAGAAAAGGGGATGCCAGGTAGGTCTCTCTTTACAAACTTGCACCAGAAAGCACCTCTTACCACCGTGGTTCTCAAATCTTAGCATACATCAGAATCTCCTGCAGAGGGCTTTTTTTGTACAATGACCGTTGATAAAACTAAAGGAATTCAAAGTTTCCATCAAGGGTCAACCATAATCTAATTATTTAATATGTAAAGACTTAAATCAGCATGCAATTATCAGAACCACTCTAACAATCATACTGCTACCAACTTGGGTAATTGTTTCATCAAAGAGAAATAATTCCAAGGCAAATAAGCTTCTATTTGGAAAATTATCATCAATTCTGGATGGGTTCCAGAAATGTGTGCTTTTCTGTAAGATGGGTAGAGTTTAGTAAAGGATTATTGCTCCTTTACTAAAGGATTATTGCTCCTTTACATCCAGAACTGCCAGCCCTGCAATAATCCTTTACTAAACTCTACCCATCTTACAGAAAAGCACACATTTCTGAAACCCATCTCCAGAATTCAGATGAGATGAGGCCTGGGAATTTGCATTTTTACAATTTCACAGGTAATGCTCACACTGCTGGTCCAGTTCCCAGACATGAAAACAAATGGTTTACCAGTGTTTCCCAAAGTGTGGTACGTGTACCTCCAGGGGTACAGGAAGAGTTTGGTGGGGGTACGCGTTGCACCAGAGTTTGATGGGGATATGCGCTGCACCGTGCTTAGCTGCGCCTAATTCTACTTTCTCATGAGTATGAGGGGTACTCAGCATTACGACAGTTATAGAAGGGATGCACATATGTCCAAAGTTTGAGAAACACTGGTTATTCTATGTTGATAACTGGATGCTTCACCATTCACCACTCTGTAAATTTCATGTTGAAATGATCCCATAAATTGTTTCTCTTAGCAATACCCTTTGTTCTGTCTTTTTTCCACTGTAAAGTTGGGTCCTTTCACTCACATGCTCACATTGCCCAATCACACCTTTTCTTCCCAATGCCACCCTATTCCCACAGTCCTTATGGCTGCAACCAGATTGAGTTCGATCATTTCCTGCCTTTTTGTTGTGGTTATAAACTGATTTTAGATGTTGTGACCTTTAGCCAATCTAAACTTTAAGATTTAGAAGGAAAACATGAATTATGTTATCAGTTTTCAGTTTCTACTTTACTTTCTTATCTCATGCAAACCCATTAATAAATGAACGTGGTGATATGGTAGACCTGACTTTGATTTTCTGTCCAACATTGATGATAATTTTCCAAATAGAAGCTTATTTGCCTTGGAATTATTTCTCTTTGATGAAACAATTACCCAAGTTGGTAGCAGTGTGATTGTTAGAGTGGTTCTGATAATTGCATGCTGATTTAAGTCTTTACATATTAAATAATTAGATTATGGTTGACCCTTGACTGAAACTTTGAATTCCTTTAGTTTTATCAAGGATCATTGTACAAGACAAATTACAAAGCAGTAAAAACCCATTGGAACTTCTTTCCATGAATAATGAAAGGAGTTTATAGCTCTTAGTAGGCACTCATATAGTTGGTATATGAACAAATAAATGCATTCTAAATAAATGCATAAATGATTTTTATTTGCTTCATGAAACTAAAACAGATATAGTTTTGTAGAACATAGGCATGGTGATTTTGTATCAGTTTTAAGTTTGGCAGGCTACCAAATGTTAATTTGCTTTTAGCTAGTTGAGATTAAATGTATTCCTTCCCTGAGCAACCCTAAAGTAAGCAAGCATGAAAGCATTTTCTGAGTAATCTTGGAGGAATTGACATTTAAGGGAGTTAGCATTACATCTGTACTTTAAGGCTATTAATTTCATAGATAAATTAACTTCATTATTCCATCTTTATCTTGCATTTGAAAGGACTCCATCAGCTGGGCAACTGACAACTGAGGGTCAATTGAAACTGCTGTTAGCCCAGCCAGGTTGTAATTGGAACCTGCTTCTGGAAACTCTACTGCATCAGGATGGGTTTTTGCTGAAAATCTTGCTGAAGAGCTCAAGTGAGTATTTGGAATTATGAAAATGTCCTCAAAAAACCCAGTCATTGTTTGAACTGAATGAAAATGTTTTTCATACTTGAATGTTGGCAGAGGGATGTAAACCAATTGCACCATATCAACAGTCAATGGGGTTAGCAGTAGGCAAAATATTGAATTGCTTTATAAACCTTTGGAAAAAATTTTTTCAGGGACTCTAAAAGGGAGAAAAGAATATTTTTATATACCGTATTTTCCGGCGTATAAGACGACTTTTGAAACGAAAAAAAGTCAACCAAAAATTTGGGGCAAAAGACCAAAATTGCACAAAAATTATGGCAAAGTAAGTCTTTTCTTTGAAGTGGGGGTTAGTCTTATACAGTGAATATAGGCCTAAACCTGTGTTTTAACTGTAAAATTAAGGGGGTCATCTTATATGCTGGAAAATACGGGTAATACTATTCTGTCATAACTATCATTATATAAAAGTATAAAAATGTGTTGAATATCTGGGCTTTAAAATGCCTAAATAAACTATGGAACACAGTCACATGTTCAAAATAGAAGTCTGAATTAGGCCTAAGAGAGAGAAAGAGAGAGAGAGAGAGAGAGAGAGAGAGAGAGAGAGAGAGAGAGAGAAAGAAATTACATTAGAACCACACTAGAAATTTCAGTGGTCTTGAAGAGTGCTTATCTATCTATCTATCTATCTATCTATCTATCTATCTATCTATAAAGAACCAGGGTCATAACATCCATGACAACTGGAGGCTTGACCGGTTGCCAGGCTGCTTGCCTTTTGGAGAGAGAGGCAGGACTGATTAGCAATGGCAGTGGCTGCTGGCAAGGCTGGGAGAGAGAAGCAGGGTTAGTCTACTTGTATATGAGTGAGGCAAATGTCACCAGGCCCTTGTACAGGAATGAAGTCTAACATTCCCCTGTCCAAATCACTCTAGTAATTTCAGGGAATTTTTTGATTTCTCAGATCTGCTCACCCATCTTTTTTTTTTTAATATATTTTATTGATTTTGTACAGAGAGGAATGGAGAGAGATAGAGTTAGAAACATCGATGAGAGAGAGTCATTGATCAGCTGCCTCTTGCACACCCCCTACTGGGGATATGCCCGCAACCAAGGTATATGCCCCCGACTGGAATCAAACCCGGGACCCTTCAGTTCCCAAGCCGACGCTCTATCCGTTGAGCCAAATCGGTCTCGGCTGCTCACCCATCTTGATGTTTGCTTCCCAAAAGCCACTAGGGGAGGTGCCTCACTGCTGAGCCCTTATGAGGATATTGCTTCTCTCCAGGTGCTCTCAAATCCTTGGAATTTTTGATATCAGTGTCACCACAGCATCTCAGGCTTCACTGTTTTTCACGCCCAAGTTTGGAAATGACCTGAATCCGACTTTATTCCCTTACACTGCCAAGCAATATTGTTTGGGGCTTACATCTCCCAGGTTCACTTGGAAAACATCTCTTTGGCTTCAGGCTGTTAACTCCACTCTCTTAAAGGAAGACAGGTGCTTCCTGAACTAGCCAACATTTATTGTTGACTTGTTTAGGCACTTTACATTTGTTATCTAATTTTATTCTTATCAATCCTATATAATAAAAGGATAATATGCAAATTGTCCCCTCCACCAGGAGTTCCACCAGAGTTCGACCAGGGAGCAGGGCCAGCCCACCAACCACCTGGGTCCCTCCCGAAGTCATCCCTGCCCTCGACCGCCCCCTCCCATTGGAGGCTGGGATGGCCTGCCAACCTCTCACATCCTTCCTTCCCCATACCCTCTCCCTCGGCCTGCCCCAACTGGGGCAGTCTGGCCAGCCCCCACTCAAGCACAAATTTGTGCACTGGGCCTCTAGTAACCTTATAAACTATATACTATTGTTAAAAATAATGGCGATAGTGATTAAGATAATGTTACTTGCCCAGAGACACAGATAGCTGATAGATAAATGATGGATAAACCTGGATTTTGAACCAAGCCAGAGCTTTCTGCCCCCTGCCCTTCCTATACAAATACTTACACATATTAAATGCTGAAGTGGGCGAGGAGTACCAGGAATAACTGCAATCTGTCTGCTCTCAGGTTGGATCAGCCAGGACACTTTGATACATGTGTATTTAACTGGTCTTTCCAGCTAGAAAGTCAGGTCCACTCAGATATTTTTATATTCTTCCTCAAATAGTGCTTTTTACAAGGAAAGTCCAGTAATTGGCCAGTCAGTGATCAGTTAGGACATAAACTATGAAACAAGGTGACTACATGACATGGATAGTCTCTGACACAGCTGGAGAGTTACTCTAATAAAATTGTTGAGACTTGTGGGCCTGGTCTCCTATTGATAGAGTTATATAGAAAATCAATTGAGATCAAACCTTTTCATTATACTGCTATAGCGACTAAGTAGAGGAAGAATGATTATAGTTATGAATATTTAACCATGTTTTCCTACAAATAAATCCCACCTTTACTTATCAAAAGTATTAGATCCACCTTCTGGTATGTATGAGAGACTTCAGTTATCAAATTTCAGTTTGGTTCTTATAGGGTACATATGTGTATTTTCCCAATCTGCTCAAATACCCATCATTTTTAACAAATGCTATTGGGTGTTTGATTAGGGTTACATAGCTGCTCTGGTATTGTCTTGTATTGAATTCATTAGCTACTTTAAATACTAAAAAGATGAAGTGACAGAATTTACTAATCAATTGATTGACTGACTTATTAAGTTCTAGTGGAAGCTCTGTCACTTTAAGTTAGAAACAATATACTTTGTCTTGTTAACCAGACAAAGATGGAAATTATTATGTAATAAAAATGTGTTTGTGAAAATTTTCAGAAATTTTCTTTCATTTGCTTAGAAGTCTCCGAGTATTTCAAAACACCATTTGGTAATTTAAAAGTTTAATCATATTTTTAGGAAAGCAAAATTTTAGAATAAAATAAGCTGAACTTGGTGCTTAATTATCAGCTTTCTTTTCTAATTATGGGAGAGTTTTTCTTTATAAATAGTGACTTTTCAGTCTAAGTGATAAAATTTAACTTTGTGATAAGTTGTTTCATGAATAAGGATAGGTTTAAGAAAATTTTTATTATACATATTTTAAAGGTTCTTTTCATTCACTAAACAGTTATTACATTCTGTTAGGTACAAAATTTTTTTGATGGACAACTATACAATAAAGATGAAAAGGGGTTTATCTTTTAGTCAAAGTGATATCTGTAGCGTTTAGAATGGCTCTATGAAAGTGATGTATCAGAATTCCTTTTTATTTTAAAAGAATCAGCAGAACATTTATGGAAAGACTATTTTATAATATGAGGTGCAACTTCACTGAGGGTCAGAAAATTGCCAAATTAGCCGAGACCGGTTTGGCTCAATGGATAGAGCATCGGCTTGGGGATTGAAGGGACCCGGGTTCGATTCCGGTCAAGGACATGTACATTGGTTGTAGGCATATCCTCAGTAGGGGGTGTGCAAGAGGCAGCTGGTCGATGTTTCTCTCTCATCGATGTTTCTAGCTCTCTATCTCTCTCCCTTCCTCTCTGTACAAAATCAATAAAATATATTTTTTAAAAATTGCCAAATTAAATAAATGAATTGTGAAATTTTAATTTATAATATATGCTTCGCAGGCAGCAGCTTTTAGGAAGTAGAATCATGTTTTTGCCATGGATAATAATTCCATGTGCAAATGCACTATTTTGAGGGAACTCTTACACTGCTAAAACTTGATAAAAATAAACTGATTTCACATGGTAGGTGGTTTATAACATTGGTTGGCTACAGTTCAGTTGGCATGAGAAGGTAAATGTTAGTTTCATTTTTAAATTGGGCCCCCTTAAATTTAAAGAGAAAAATCTCTTAACTACAAATGTTTATAGAACACTTTAAAGCTGTAAGACACTATTGTGGATTACTGACTTTAAAAACCCAGGGCAATTGTTTTGGTAATTGCCTCACTGAGGCCACATGGCTTAAGCAGTTTCTTACATGAGGCATCAAAGGAACAAATATTTGGCAAATTTCCCAATTGTTAGCAGGTGGCCTTTTCCTGTAAGTGACATTTGAATGAAGTGTGACTAACATTCTATCCTTTGCCCATGGCCCCAAGAATGATTTCCAGTGAAAACTTCTTGGCTTCTTGTAATGTGCAGTTGTAATATAATAACAGCAAACTAGCAAATACATAATATTTAACATGTTCCAGACATTGTTTCTAAGTGCCTTAAATGTGTTCACTCACTGAATCCTCACAACAATTCTGTGTCGTAGGTTCAGTGGCCATTTCCGTTTCACAGATGAGGAAACTGAGACACATAGAACTTAAGTCAGTTAACTAAGTCACGGAGCTCTTAAGTGGCACAGAAAGATGCAAACCAGACCACTGGCTTCCAGAGACTTCTTTCACCACCGCACCCTGCAGCACCCAGGGAGAGCCACAGAACATTTCCCAAATCGCATGTTGTGCAATTCATGGGAGGTATCAGGAACCTCTATTATGGATCATTTTGATGGTACATTTTGTACTTTTAAACTTTTAACAAAGTGCCTAAAAATAATCAAGAAACAGCAGCAGAAAATTCTTGCTAAAGGGCTGCCATCCCTACCAAGCGGTGATTGATGTAAAAGGAATAAATCAATTCGAATTCTCTTACGCTATAGTTAATATTTTCCTGATCTTTTGAGTCCTGAGAGGCATGTTATGAATGAAGCTTGGTATTCTTGACTTTCAAGTATGTGAAAAGAGGCCAGCTGGGGGAGCTGGTTAAAATGAAAGATTCTGACCCAGTAGGTGGGCCTGAGGTTCTGCATTGCTAACAAGCCCCCAGGTGCGCTGCTCCTGCTGCTGTTGGCCCCTGGACCCCATTTTGAGTAGCAAGGTCATCAAACAAAGTATCTGTTTCTATAAAAGGCAAAAGAATTGAGTACGTGTTTTGTCCTTCCGGTGTATTATAGACCTTTAGAGAGACAGTTTACTTAAGACTATTTCTAAATCATTTTATCAGG